TAATCACAAATAAAGCAAATCCAAATTAATGTTAGGGAACAAACACATGACCAATTCTACTCTATGTCTTGAAGTAGCCAAAACAGAAGTTTCTAGTTTTACTTAGCTGGCATTGAGCTCCTTTTTACCAACAAACCATGAAGCTAAAATAGTTACTACATCACCTAGACTGAGCAGAGGTGTCTTCATGAATAGAGGTCCCTATCAACTTAAAGAAATGTAACTATCGTCAAGCACAAACTGTATCACTTGAGTAAAGTTGAGTCCAAGCTAAGGCACGATGAATGATTAACAAAGAAATTGCTTTTGGTTTCAGGAATTGTAAAGGCAGACTGTCTGGCTGTTACAGGAAGCTGTATTAGTGCTGACAATGTTAAACTGTTTACAGAAACTAGGAAGCTGGCAGGGTTCCTCTCCATCACACACGCTGTCCTGTCCTGTATCAGAGACGCTTACAAATCTCAACAAATAACTGCAAATTAATTTTTAAAAAAACGTAAAAACTAGCAATGACACGCAGCTATTCTGTTAGTTTGATCCACATCTACAAATGTATCACATCCCCGTCATTCCTTGACTCAAGTTACCAAATTCCCTAGCTACTGTCACCCAAGAAGATTTAAAGGCAGGGTATCTTCTGAGTGCAGTGGCAGGTGACTGGATGTACCACCAGGATATGAGGAGTAATTAATCCAGTGCTAGACACCAGTTACGGCATGTTAGCCTCAAAGTACTAGTTTGTAGCTAGAAAGGTACCTTAAGTTTTACCAAGAGTGTGAATCTTAGGCTTTCCTTTTCCACAGTTAAGCTTTTTAGTTTACTCATAATGGAAACTAACCAGAAAAGGAAATGTTTGCTTTTGGGAACTCAGCAAAGAAAACATTCATGTTTGCACCCAAAATTATTACTAACAAATGAAGGGCCTGCTGTGCTATCACTACCCTATCCCTTTTCCCCTTACCCACCTCCCCCCCAAAAAACCCAACCTGACTTAACAGGCATCCATCTCCAGCAAAGTTTAAGTTATAGACCATGTTAAGAACTGGGTTTTGTTTTCTTGTATTTCAATTTTCATTAAAAGCTTAGTAATTATTAGTTAGGGAAAAACCCCACTAAACCTAATTTTAGTTACTTTGTCTGCTATCTCCTCCCATTCTCTCTTTATTTTTTGCTGTCCAAATGTAGCAAAAATAACTGGGCATGGTGGTCCATGCCTATAATCACAGTATTTGTGAGGCTCAGACAGAAGCGTGGCTACAAACCGAAACTCTGTCTCAAAAATTCAAACAAAACTACCAAAGAAATTTCAGAAATAATTCTTAAACGTAAAAAGGCCAAAAAAATTGTGACTTACATAATTCAGATTTTTTCATTTCCTTCAAAATTCATAAACTGGCACATAGAAATCATTTCTATTGTCCAGAAGTAACTTAATGTAATATAAAACATTTCACTTTTTATTCAGTAGACTCTTCACACTTACGATGTCTAACAGAAAGTTAAGTGTTGAGCCCCATGCTAGGGGATGAAAACAACGAATGAGGCCATACCCCAGAGCTTACATGCCAGTGAGGAGCCACTGCGATGCGTAAGCCTGAAGCAACACAGAGCCTGGGCGTTACATACAGCACACTCAGGAGATCACAGGCTAGGGATGTACTCTAGCCTGGAGGAGTGGGAAAGCATCTAATCAGACGTGGGCCTAAGGCACTAGGGGAGAGGTCAATGTGCCAGGAACAAATTCATCCAGATCACATATGCAGCTTGCCAAAAATACACATCACTGGTCTCATGCGATTTTTGAACCAGATTCTCCCATGATGGCATATGAGCTAAACAAGCATTCCAGTTAATCTGATGCCAGGTGTCAGAGGACCACCATTAGTTACATTAAAATGTAGTTACTATTGGGTGTGGTGATACACATCTGTAATCTCTATAATCTCAGGGGCTGGGGGATCACCAGTTTAAAGCCAGCCAGGATTACATAGTGAGACCCACACCCCACCACAACAACAAAAGAATAAGCAGGTATAACCATTCTGTGAAGAGTAATAAGGAGCTACAGTACCAGAACCGAGGGCAGATGGAGATGGACAGGTTAGAGGGTATGTCCAGAGGCCTAAGGAAATGTACTGTGGGCATCAGAAGTAAGATAGCTATTGCCTTGACTCACACCAACAGGTACACTCTAGGGGAACAGAGAACCAATCAAAGCTTTCTGAGCAACTCCATGCTATGTTTGAACAAGAAGACAAGGACAATATATGGAAGAAAGAAGAGAATAGATTTTGGGAAAGGATAGGACTTAAGAATCTTCATTGTGCAGAAAACTGATGATAGGAAAATTTAAATAAGAAAAGTGCCCAACACTATACCAACTACCACAGAGCATCATTAATCCCACAGAATAACCAAGCACCCAAAATGCGTAAGGTTAACAATTCTGAGGACACTAGAGTTTAAAATTTGATCTCAACTGTTCCTTTCTTCTTGTATTTCTCTACTTTTTTTTTTTTTTTTTTGGGTCCGGTTGTGGGCCTGAACTCTGGGCCTGGGCACTGTCCCTCAGCTCTTCAGCTCAAGGCTAGCGCTCTACCACTTGAGCCACAGTGCCACTTCCGGCTTTTTTTTTCTGCTTATGTGGTGCTGAGGAATCAAACCCAGGGCCTCATGAATGCAAGGCAAGCGCTCTATCACTGAGCCACCTTCCCAGCCCTATTTCTCTACTTTTTACCAGAAAAAAAAAAAAAAAAAACTATTTCTGAAACCTGTCTTTGGGAACTTTTTTGCTCTTGAAGCATTAACTGGCTCAAGTCAAATACTCAGAGGTCCTCATGCTGAGTGGCTTTGCCTATTTGCTTTTAATGAAAAAGAATATGTAGGCATCTTTTCTAAGGATGATAAACATGAGCTTCAACATGAGACAAAGAGGTAAAAGTCCAAATTCAAAACACATCAGAAGCCCAACATCAATTAGATGGCGCATAGGGCAAATACAGAACTTTGCCAGAGAACTTTCAAGTACACAGTCCTTCATTTATTCATTCAATATGTACTGGATATTTATTTCAGAAGGCTGTTTCTTCCCTGACCTTGGAAAGACTAATAACAGCCTGAGAAAACACAGAGTGGAAAGTGTAGTCTGTTGAGAAAAGGAACTAAGGAGGTGAATAAGAAGCACTTAAAAGAAGGGAGATGAGAAAGGCTCCGTGAAGGAACTCATGCAAACAGGTCTACAAAAATAACCATAGTCACCCAAGGTCAAAAACTAACCAGAGGTCTGGGAACTGGATGAAGGTTCTTTGTTCAGTTAAATTCGTAATTTTCAATATACAAACTACTCAGCAGTGAGACAGTCTTTGTCTTTCTGAAACTAAATTATTTGAAAAGATACATACTCAAAAGAAACTGAACAAGATAGCACACAATCAGTGGCCACTAAGGGTAAAATAAAGGTATCAGTTTTTATAAAAAATATATCTTAAACACTGTTCTAGAAACACTATTCTAGAATAGCTAAGACTGCTTCTAACAGCAAAGACTGCTGGCTGTATACCTCCTTGTGTAGCCACACCCATAAATGTGGATCCCTTTAAGGTTGGGGTAATTATTATTATTTTTTTTGGGGGGGGGTCCAGTCATGGGGCCTGAACTCTGGGCCTGAGCGCTGTCCCTCAGCTCTTCAGCTCAAGGCTAGCGCTCTACCACTTGAGCCACAGCGCCACTTCCGGCTTTTTTCTTTTTGCTTATGTGGTGCTGAGGAATCGAACCCAGGGCCTCAGGCATGCAAGGCAAGTGCTCTACCACTGAGCCACCTTCCCAGCCCAAGGTTGGGGTAATTATTAAACAACTTCCTAAGCAGCTTTACTTTAACTGTCACTTTATTTAAATCATGTTATATAAAACACTTCTGACCTGAACTACCTCTAAACTGCATATATGGTCTAGATTGCTATCACTGCTGGAATCTTTCTTGTCTTTAGCAAGTAAAACCCACCAAAGCACTCATAACTAAATAAAACATTTGGTTAAAACAAAATCTGCCTTGGGGCAGATTCCAAGTAACTGGAATTACAGGCATGAGCCACCATGCCTGGTTCATTTCTGTATTTTTAATCTTGTATGGGATACTTTCTTTTCTACCCTTTATTTAGCAGCTACTAAGTATTTTACAGGTAGTGTTATTTAGGAGGAAAAAGAAATACAATATAAATTCTGTTCTCATCTGAAATAGAAGTACAAAAATAATTTTTAAAGGAACCTTTCATGAAATGTGCTAAGGTCCCTTTAAACACACAAAATACAAAAACAGCACAAAAAGCACATTCATTGTTCAAGATTTATCCTTACATCAGATTAATTACCTCTATAAGCTAATTAATAATAATACACTTGAATGAATAACTAGGTTTACTTGCTAAACTCTTATTCCAAGAATAAAAGATAACTTTTTTTTTTTGGTCTGTTGTGGGGTTTGAACTCTGGGCCTGGGCACTGTCCCTGTGCTCTTCAGCTCAAGGTGAGTGCTCTACTGCTTGAGCCACAGCGCCACTTCTGGTTTTCTAGTGGTTTATTGGAGATAAAGAGTCTCTCAGACTTTCCTGCCCAGGCTGGCTTTGAATCATGATCCTCAGATCTCAGCCTCCTAAGTAGCTAGGATTGCAGGCGTGAGCCACTGATGCCTGGCTAAAGATAACACTTTTTAAAAAGATTATTATTGCTATGAGTGGAAGAAACTTAACTTCAAAAAGGGAGCAAAATAAAAAGAAAGTGCCTAAGAAAACTATTATGATCTTACTTTCAAAAAAGGAAAAAAATGACCAACATAGTAGCTTCATTAAATCCAGTTTACCTTGGCTCATACAGAAATCCAAGTAGCTGAGGCTACAATTTTGGACAGATACATTTTACATTACGGAAGTCAGTGAAAAAAAGCGTGCTAAGTCAGATATTATTAAAATGCCATTAGAATCAAACCACAAGTGCAAATGTCTTACCAGCTGGAATTCACGACGCCGGTCATAGGCATTCTGTATGCCACTGTCCGCCCACAAGGCTCTTATTGCAGGAAGATACTGCAAAAACACTCGGGTTTCCACCATTCCTTGGGCAGCCATGGGGGCCCGGGTGTCAAATGCCATCAGCTTGTCTCCATGGAGCTGGTTTTCAGTATCTCCCCAAGGAATATGAAGCTTCTCTCGGGCATCTACCAGCACCCTCATACCTTTGTTTAAAAAGAAGAAAAAAGGTGTAATTGTTAGATACATTCTTGAATGTTAGAATGAGTATGTGTGTGTGTGTGTGTGTGCATGCACGCACATGTGTGTATGTATATCGGTCCTGGCTTGAATTCAGGGCCTAGGTGCTGTCCCTCAGCTTTTTAAAAGAGGTTCAACGCTAGCACGCTACCACTTGAGCCACAGCTCTACTTCTGACTTTTTGGAAGTTTATTGGAGATAAAAGTCCCTGGACTTTCCTGTCCAATCTGGCTTTGAATGGCAATCCTCAGATATCAGTCACCTTATTAGCTAGAATTACAGGTATGAGCTACCAGTGCCCAGCTTAGACAGAATAGCTTTTATTCCAGTATTACTTTTATTAAAGTTTCAAGTAGTCCAGCCCACCTCTTCAAAACAACCTGTATCTTCTCAGGATTAAAAAAAAAGTTATCAGACTTACAACTGACATACTGAATTGAAACTCCTTTGTACAACTACATAAAGACAGTTTTTAAAAAATTGTTTATCATCTTAAAACTAGAGCCTTAAAAAAGCAAACACTATTAACTCATTGCTCTCTCTGAAGGACTTTAACATGCTGCAATTTGTAAAATGATTTCTGGGGTAAAGGTGGTCAAACCAAGCTCAAGAAGGAAGAGATTATGCTACTATGCTACGGAGCCCAAAGTCCAGGAACTGAAGACAAGGGCGTCACCCAAGGCTTGTATGCACCTGTCTGAAAGACACTTACTTGGGACACTAAAAGGCACACATTGTAGCCACATTTAATTGGGTCCCTCAGCAGCCTAATCACAACAAGTCTTTCTAGCAACACATCAAAACTCAAATGGTTCTCCCAGTGCAACCTTCAAATCAGTCTAAGTTGTAGGCCAGCTTTAGATTTCCCTAAAAGGGAGAGACCCAACTGGGGAGAAAACACACACACACACACAAAGTGTTCAGCATAACAAAGATTAGTTCAAACTTAGTATTTCTATCACTAAACTACTACCTTTGGTCTATCTTAGTAGTCAATTTGGCCTATCTTAGCTGTCAATTTTCTGATCACACCAACTGAGAAAAATGAATACCCAGTGACTTAGCACACCTCACCACGATGCTCCAAGGTCACACTTAGGACACCGTGCACATTAAGAACCAGGTGCTTACCTGGCTCACAGTTAGCAGGTTGACTATTCATTAACATAATTCCCTCAAGTTCAACTGCATGGGGATAACAAAGGTACCTTAAATTAGGGCCTGGCAAGGCACAATCGGAGGCCGTGAAAGAGACCTTAATTAGTTTTGTGCTAAACATGAAGGCAGGATAAATAGAACCGTCTTTGACAGTTTAACTGCAGGGATCCCAGGGCTAGGAGCTAGAAGTGAGCGGTGAGTTCCTCTGACTGCCTTGGCCCCACTCTGCCTCCCTCCTCAGGTAGTTTCCTCTCCCCAAGCCCTGGAAGGAAAAAACTGTACCAGCCCCGTGGCCTATGTACTTCCTACATGTGAACCCCTATAGATAGAACAATCTGAAAAGACCTGCACGTTACAGCATTACTCCTAGATCAAACAGGGTTGACAGGGACGTAACCTACAGAGAGTTGCTGCTGCTGCTTCAAAAGGCTACAACTTAAAAAAACACACACACAAATCAAAAACACCACCGATTCTTTGGAAGGCCCAGCAATAAAGAGCCGGGGTACTTTTCACTTAGGAACCACACGGGTCTGTCACACAAGAGCAGCTGCCATTCTCCAGCCCCAAACCTGACGCGCCGCCGCCACCTGCACCGAGGGATCCAGGAGGGCACCGCCTCGCCCCGTGGAGCCCGCAGGGGTGCCCCGTTTGCCCCGCGGGGTGAAGCGTACGGCCCGAGCCTACGGGCAAACATCCTGTTACACTGGGGCCAAAGATCCCGCAGGATGGGGTTTGTTTTAGATTCACGGCGGGGCAGCTCTTCCCCGGAGTCACCCCCAAGCTCACATCCCTGGCCGCCACCCCCTCCGCAAAGGACACCAGGGCTGTCACCCCACGCCCTCGACACGAGCTGTCTCTACTCAGACGCTTCCAGAACCCCCCCCCCCCCATCCCCCTTTGCCCAGCTAGCGGCCCAAGGAAGCCGGGCAACCTGACGGCTCGGGTTGGGGAGGGACCTGCTGGTGTGGGGGGGGTGGAAGGGGGGAGATCCGAGTCGGAGACGAGACCGGTCAGCAGGGAGGAGGACAAGGAAAGGTCACCCGCACCCCCCGACTCCCGGCTCGCCTCACTTCCCCGTGGGATGGGGGCGGGGGGGGGGAAGCCGAGGCCCGCGGCGGCGGGAGGGACCCCGGGCGCGCCCCCTCCCCGCCGGTCCACCTCCCGGCTGGGCGAGGTCCGCGCGCCGGCCGGGGACCGGGCGGAGAGGAGGGCGGTGCCCGGCCCCGCGCCCGCCGCCGCCGGCCGGGGTCCCGCCGCCCGGGGCCCCGCGGCCCGGCCCGCGCGCGCACGCCCGCCCGCACCTTTGATCACGTTGCTGTAGATGGTGGGGCGGAACTCCTCGCGCGCGCGCTGGTCGAAGTCCTGGCCGTGGATGATCCGCATCTGCTTCAGGAAGGTGGACTTGCCGCTCTCGCCCGCGCCCAGCAGCAGGATCTTCACCAGCCGCTTCACGTAGGTCTTCTCCCGCGACAGGCATTTGTCGATCTCCTTGGACTTGCGCTGCTGCTCGGCCTCGCCGCTCGTCAGCACGCAGCCCGGGAAGCACACGGACAGCACGGACCGCGACGGCAGGAAGTCCGCCATCTTGCCGCCGCCGCCGCCGCCTCGGCGGGCCCCTGCGGCTCCACCACCGCCTCCGCCTCCTCCCGCGCCGGGCGGCTCCGGCTCCGCGGCTCGAGGGCGGGGAGCGCAGCCGGCGGCCCGAGCGCGCCCGGGGAGGGAGGGAGGGAACCACGAACTGACTCGCAGGGCGGGCCGGGCAGGGCGGGCCGAGCCAGCCGTGGGGGGCAGGGGGGAGGGAGGGAGGGAGGGAGAGAGGGAGGGAAGGAGGAGAGGGCGGGCCCGGGAGGGGCGGTGGCCCCGGAGGCGGGGGCGCGCACGCTGCCTCGCGGGGGCGCGCGCGTACACCGCGAGTGCCGCGCTCACCGCTGTCTCCCTGCCCGCCCCCCCCCCCCCCACACTCTGGCCGGCGGATCACGCGCTCGCTCCCTGGCTCGCGTGCCTGCGGCCGGGCACGCGCCCGCGGGGAGTAGCCGCACGGCGGTCACGTGACTCGGGCACGGCGCGCGCCCGCGGAGCCAGGCTTTCTGTTTCCTTTTTACCGCGCGCGGTGACGCGCAGGGCGCGCGCCTGGGCTCCGGCCTGGGGCGCTGAGGGGCGGGGGTCGCCCTTTCTCCCTCGAGTGCTCCCGCCGCCGGCTGTCACCTCCACGTGCCCGGGGCCGGTGACATTCGCTCGGGGAAGTTATTTCACCTGCAGGCGCCAGCGGAGAGCCTGCAAGGTTCCGGCGCGTTCTCTGCAGGTGACACCCTTGGCCTCCGAGGTCGGAAGGTCGGGGGGCGGAGTTCTCCCTGTCCCCAGGCCTTCCCCCCCGCCCTCCGTCACTGTCGACCCCCGTCGGGGCTCCGGTGCTGGCGTTCGCCCGGGCCGCGCGCGAGGCGGTGCCCGGCCGCCGTGGAGGGACTGAGCTGCGGCGCCCTGGGTGGGTCTCCCCCGGAATCGCGGGGAGCGGGGCGGGGGGTGAGGTCATGGCGAGATCCCCCCGAAACCCGACACTCCCAGCAAGGAAACAGAAGCCCACGGACCGGGATTTGCAAAAGGCACATCTTCGTGTTCCTGCCCAGCCAGGGGCTTCGTTGTTCACTGTTCTAACGGTAGAGTTGGGCCAGGGCACCTGCCAGGGCTGCCAGGAGAAAAGCCACGGCTGAGTTGGCAACCTGGCTGTGTAGCAAAGACCTCAGAAACCAGCGTTGGCATTCGTGTGTGTGTGTGGTGTTGGGACTTGAACTCAGGACCTCACACTATCCCTCAGTTTTTAATTTTTCTGTTTTTGTTGTTGTTCCAGATTAGCACTCTACTACTTGAGCCACGTGGTGTGTGTGGATAATTGGGAATAAGAGTCTCACTGGACTTTGCCCTGTCTGCTTTGAACTAAGATCCTCAGACCTCAGCCTCTTGAACAGGATTCCAGGCAGGAGCCACTAGCATCCAACTAATTAATGTCTTTATTTTGGCCCATCCTAGGGGGTTGAACTCGGGGACTAGGTGCTGTCCCTGAGCCTCTTTGTGCTCAAAGATAGCGCTCTACCACTTGAGCCACAGTGCCACTTCTACCTTGTTCTGAGTAGTTTAGACAGCAAGAGTCTCATTGGCTGGCTTCAAACAGCCATCCTCAGATCTCAGTTAGTATTACAAGCATGAGCTACTGGCACCCGGCTTTTTGTCCTTCTTAGTATTTAGTATTTGTCTGTCTGGGTTTCTCAGTGCAACATAATGCTCCTTGGTTTGGGCTTCTGTGGCTCAATAACTTCCTTATGCCAACAGAGTTTGGGTCTGCACTGTCGAAGGCATATAGACAAGTTTAACTTAAAAATCAGAGCAAACTCAGTACTGTAAATCAGTTACTGTCTGGGCTTGGGTTCCTGACTGAGAGGCCTCATGACTCAATGCAATGGTTGCAGTAAACAATCTATAAACAGTCACTATAGTTGGATTATCTCCTGCTGTGCTGGCCAGGGCCGTGAAGTAGACAGTCTATACAGAGTGGGATGGCCCATCATCCTGCATCTGTGAGTTGCCAGGGTCAGGACCAGTAGGCCGTGCTGTCAGGTCAAATGTATGGTAAAGGTCTAGCCTGGATGGAAGCTCTCTCCATTGTGTATCAGAGTTATGCAGGCCTTCTTATACCATGGAAGGACTAGCTTCTACCTAGGACAAAGCTCTGTTCTACATTGACTCCAGTTGCTCATCTGACTTTTCAGTAAAGTCAGAGGAGAGAAGCCTCTTAAGTTAGGCTAGTTAACATCTTTTTCCTGAAATCTGTGCAGCATAAAGGAAAAGCAAGGAAGCCCAGGAGGCAGGAAGTTATTCCTGCCCAGCCAGTTCATGTTGTGACATGTAAAGCAGCAGAAAAACTGTTCAAAGGCCTATGTGGAGCCTTGCTTTGGAACAAGCTTGGCTCAGAGAGAGCCTGAATCTTCTAATCAGTTGTTGCGGAAAAAGAGACCACCTGGAGCCCAGCCTGGGTGTTTGGTTAGCCCTGTGTCTTCTAACTGATGACCAAGACACCTTGTAAAATATGAGCATAGAAATGAGCCAGCTAGGTGTGGTGGTATACAACTATTATCCCAGTGCTGTGGAAGCTGAGGAAGGAGGATGGGGAGTTCAAGGCCAGCCTTAGTTATATAGTAAGATCTTGGAGGGGAAGAGGAGGGAGGAGGAAGATATGAATATAAGTATGAGACTGTGTCAAGATTCAGTGGTTCCTCAAGAAGTTAATATAGAACATAAAAACAGTATGAAGAGGTTCAGTGAAAGCTGTTGAAATGGTATTAAGAAGGGGAGAAGGAGAGAAGCAAGAGTGATAGAAAGGGTGAGATTGATTGAAATCTGTTGTAAACATGTGGAAATGTTTCAATAGAAGTCCTCCCTCACATAACTAATGGTAGTTGTTTGTTTGTTTTTAAGGAGGGGGGGGTGAGGATTTTTTAAAAAGCAGTAAACCATAGGATTGCTGCATGACCCAGCAATCCCACTTCTACGTACATACCCCCAAGTCATTGAAAACAGGTGTCCAAACAAAAACTTGCTCACTTGTGTTGATGGCAACACGACTTAGAATAGTCAAAGGTAAAAGCAGCTCAGAGGCTTCTAAGTCAGTGAATGGTTAAAGGAAATGTGATATAGCTATGTGATGGAATTATTCAGTCACAAAAAGAAATGAAGTCCTGATATACATTGCCAATCCACTTTGAGAATACACTAAATGAAAAAAGAAGGCCACATAATGTATAGTTTTTCTGAGATTAAATGTCCAGAGTAACTGAATCTACAGAAACAAACAAAAAAAAAGTGTTGTCAGGGGCTGGAGAGTGTGTGTGTGTGTGACTTCAATGGGTACAAGGTTTCCTTTTGTGGTGACGAGCAGTTTGGAAAGTAGATAAATGGTGTTGAATGTGGAACACTAGTGAAGGCAACTAGATTGCATGCTTTGAAATGGTCAAAATGATGCTGTATGAATTTGCCACAGTAAAAAAATCAAATGAGCCAGATGCCAGTGGCTCATGCCTGTGATTCTAGCTACTCAGGAGGCTGAGATCTGAGGATCCCGGTTCAAAGCTAGCCCAGGGAGGAAAAGTCCTTTTGAGGCTCTTCAACTAACACCCAAAAACTGGAAGTGACGTTATGGCTCAAAGTGGTAGAGCACTAGGCTGAGTAAAAGAGCTCAGGGACACTCCCAGGCCCTCAGTTCAAGCCCCATGACTGACTGACAAAAACAGAAAACAAAACAGAATTAAAAAAAAAATGAATTAAGGAAAATATATGTTCCATTTAACCTAGAAGGTTAAAGTGTGTAATGTTTAGTGAATAAAAGTGGCACAGTGCTAGAGCACCTGCCTAGCCAGCACGAGACCCTGTATTCAAACCCCACTACTAGAACAGGGCTCTGGTGGCTCAAACCTCAGATCTTAGCCTCCTGAGTAGGTAGGATCACTGGTAGAACACCAGTCTTGAGCAAAAAAACTAAGGGACACTATCCAAGCCCTGAGTTCAAACCCCAGGACCAACACATACACTCTCCCCCACCAAAAGAAGTACTGAAAAAACTGCCATTATTTTTTTTTAATAACAGGGACAAGTTTAATTATTCATGCCAGAAGCTAATCTACTCTAGAAGCTATTTCAGTTTACAGTGTAATGATGTTGATGATATTTTAATCTTTAGATACATTGTTTCATCAGTGAAGAAAATATTTTGAAACTTTTAAAGATTGTATTGAGCCCTGATTTGAATCAAATCTTCTGGATACTAAGTTGCCAATAGATCCAGATGTCAGTTCATTGGAAACATCTGTACAGTTGAGCCATATGCAAATAGAGAATTTAGAAACCCCACCCCACCCCCAGCTGTGTTAAAAAGACAGGAAACCCAGATCAGTTTTAGCATCCTTTTTGGAAGCTGAAAGTTTAGGGGGCAGTCTTGAACAATGGGACTAAAAATGAAATGCACTTCTAAATGATTTTTCTCCTCTTTACACCTTAGGAGGGAATAAACCCTTTCTGATAATACTGCCGTTCTTGGAATCGACTTGTAATTCATCTCTTGGAAACTGAAAGAAAGATGCTCCTATTTTATAGTCATGGTTTATTTTTAATTTTAAAAAATGGTATTATTTTGATTGTTGGCCAGTCTCTGAGCCAAATAACTTTAGGCTGTTTACAGAAAATCAGGATTATCCACAAAGGACAAAAAAATGTGTCACCCTCAGACTTAGTCAGAAGAATGTGCCAGAGGCTTCAGGAACAGTTCCAAAGAAGAGTTAAAAAAAATTTTTTAATGATGGGAAATATAATTTAAATAAATGCTTTGGTTGCCAAGGTAACTACTCACTACACCCATTTAGATGCTGTTTATTTAAAACACAGTCACATTACAGGATAGTTAAACCTTGGGTTCATTTTCTAATAAAGATGATGACATATCCAGCAATTTCATTACACAACTCTCTTGTGTCTAACCCTCTATATAGAATAAATGGATTCTAATATTCTCACAGCTCCAGCAGGCATGATTTCTTCCACTTCCCTTTTCCCTAGCAGGAAAGGAAGGGAATTCCCAAGCTCTCCAGAACATGACCCTCTTACATATGGGTGATGTTTTAAATGCCTCAAAACACTCTGACCTACTTTATCTCATTCACTACACTGCTAACAATAGCCTAGTAGGAACACCCAGCATTAACCTCCATCTTATTGGCCAGACAAGAAGCTGACTGGGAAGGAATGCTTAAATCTCTCCCTTCCTTCTCTCTTCTCTCCCTCTCTTTCTGCTCTCTCTCTTTCTCCCTTCTCTCCTCTCTCTCCTTCTTTCAATCACAGTGGCCAACTGGACTCAAAGCTGTGGATGTTGTCCACTGCTCTTCCTGATATTCCTAAACTAGTCGTAGTGTCTAGAATGCCTGGTGTGTGAGCTCCAACGGAAGATCAAAAGCTAACTGTACTTGGCCTCAAGGTACCATGGAGTCCAGTAGTTTTGTTTGTTGCTTAGTTGGTCTGTTTTTTCCAGATCCTTCCAGGCTGCCTGCCATTTTGAAGCTGCGCAGCTGTTAGGCTGAATAGAGTAAGATGTTCCATGCTTTGGAGCTCAGTGCTGCTTGTAAGAGGTTCCAGGTGGCCAATGGAGAAATTATATTTCAAAAAAATGGAATCCTACTTATGGCTGTATTTACCTGCTATGTCAATCCCACACAATTATTTCATTCGAGTTCAACCTAAAAAGGAAACTTCTTTTGTAATGAAATCTGATGTTGCCCTGACCAGAATAAACTCCTCTTGCGGAAAGTTTCATATGAAACTAGACATGTGGAGTTGAATGGTGGGTGGTTTTGTTTGTTGTTGTTAATAATGGAAAACATGACTTTAATTACTGGTTGTATTTTTCTCAGCCTCTGTAAAAGATCTGTGAACTACTGATGACCAGCTGAGACCTTGGCTCATCCCAGATCAGAAACCTATACAGTTTCAAAGACTCATACAAGAGCTCCTGGAAATGCTTGTGCCTAGGTTTGTGCTCTATCAGACTGATCCCCAGGCCTATCTGTCCATGTAACATTGCACACAAAGGCTTTGCCTGAAAAATAATTTTTTTTTTATGCTAGTCCTGGGGCTTGAACTCAGGGGTCTGGGCATTGGCCCTAATCTTTCATTTTGTTTTGTTGTCTGTTTAACCAATTAAGCCAAAGCTCCATTTCCAGCTTTTTTGGTGATTAATTGGAGATGAGAGTCTCATAGATGTTCCTGCCTGGGTTGGCTTCGAATTGTAATCCTCAGATCTCAACCTCCTGAGGAGTTAGGATTATAGGAATGAGCCACCTGTGCCAGGCCTTGTCTGTGGATCTTGAGATTCATTCTAAAAATCTCAGAAACCCTGTTCACATCCTCTTGGTTATTTTTCCTTACATTTACTCATTTGCTTATTTTTTATTTTTATGTTTGCAGGTATGGTCTTGCTGTGTACCCCACACTGGCCTAAAACTGATGATCCTCCTGCCTTGTCCCAGATGTTGGGAAAACAGAGGTGCACCACACATCTGGCTTCCTTTACCACAGTTCAAGATAGGAGATATTTTTAATGCTTTCTTTCCTATAAATGCCACTTGCCAGACACAAGCAAGTATCCTTTACCAGAGGTTCTGTTTCTCTAAGGAAGTTCAAGTCTGCAATCTCCAGGTATTTCTGCATACCAGAATCCTCTGTTTCCAACCCAGTGGTCATTGTTATCTTTCCCTTGGGACACTGGATTTGTAGGCTTAGACCTCATACTTCCCAGTACCCATATACCAGGCTGGCTGGCAGGTTCCGTCACATGGCACTGCCTACAGAGCTGGCCTTTGCCTCTACAAAACCCCAGAAGGCATCAGCTTACTGCTGACCAGTGTGCCATTGGCAGTTAGGGCTCATCTAGGAGGCCAGTCCATACGACTTTAGTCAGAGGATGGCAGACTGCTTCCTAGAACAAATAATGTCACCCACTTTCTCCAGCTGCTGAGGAAAAGAGAGGTGAGCTCATGATAGGACTCAGAGAAAGGCAGCAATTGCTGAGTCAGAATGGCAGCAGAGGGGACCTGGGACACAGGCCTTGTAGCCAGGCTGCCTTGCCTGCTTCACTTACTGGCTTTGTCCTCAACAGGAATTTGAGAGGAGGAAATAAAAGCCAAAGGAAGTGGCTGGATGTGGGTGTGGCAACTTTGCACCTGTGACTTCTTGAGCTGTGATAGGGAAAGGTCCCTTAGGTAAGAGAGGTGATCCACTATTCTTTCCAAACCAGAGTAGCTCAGACTATATTGTCTGTTCTGCATTTTGTCTTCCAGAGAAGAAATGTAGAACAGTGGCAAGAACTTGGGTGGAAACTCACCTAATAGATCTAAGTTTTCCCTTTCTTTTCTTTTTTTGCCAGTTGTGGGGCCTGAACTCTCTACATGGGCACCGTCCCTTAGTTCTTCAGCTCAAGGCTTGCATTCTACCACTTGAGCCACAGCCCCACTTCCAGCTTTTTCCACTTATGTGGTGCTAAGGAATCAAACCCAGGGCTTCATACATGCAAGGCAATCGCTCTACCACTGAGCCACCTTCCCAGCCCCAGTCTTCCCTTTCTTAAGTGGAAAATGGGAAGATGGCTGTGTACAAAGTTGTCATGAGGACCAGATTATAGGACACATGTGCTTGGCCCATACATGGAAGGGTTCATTTTAGACTATTAGAGGAAGGAGCAACTAGGTGTCTTTACAATCCCTAAGGAAGCTTAAGAGTTATTGTCCTTGCCAGAATGTTCTCCCTGGATCTTTCCCAAGCCCTTCCACTGGTTGCTTATTCTTCATTTTCTCCTTCAAGTTCATTCACACTCTGCAGTCAGATCTGTTTCTGGTGGTAAGGACCTCATAACGAGGAGAGTAAGATAGGCACATGAGTGACTGTTCCCAAAGTCTCAGCTCTGAAGAGAGCCTAAGGAGATCCGAAGCTCAGGCAGAGACATTGGCCTGGTACGTTTAAGGGCATAGTCTTCATTTTCTTATCTGGAAAGTAGGCATAGAATGCTTTCAAGATGGCCAAGCAGGCATCCTGAGTAGCTAGGATTACAGGCATGAGCCACCAGCACCAGGAGTCCCTGAGCTTTTTTGCTCAAAGATCATGCTCTACCTCTTGAACCACAGCTCCACTTCCAGTTTTTGTTTTTGGTGCTTAGAAAATAAAATTTAGGGTGGCTCAGTGGTAGAGCACTTGCCTTGCATGCTCGAGGTCCTGGGTTCGATTCCTCAGCACCACATAAGAACAAAGCCTGAAGTGGTGCTGTGGCTCAAATGGTAGAGTGCAAGCCTTGAGCTGAAGAGCTGAGGGACAGCGCCCAGGCCCAGAGTTCAGGCCCCACGACCGGACCCCAAAAAAACAAAAAAAAAAAAAAAAAGAAAATAAAATTTAGCACATATGACAACAACAACAAAAAAAAGATCAAGGGACATGGCTCAACAGGTAAAACACTTAACTAGCAAGTTCAAGGCCTTAAATTCAATCTCTAGTACCAAAAGAAAATGTTAAATGATATTAGTGTGCATAAAAATTTTAAAAATGGAGCCGGGCGCTGGTGGCTCACGCCTGTAATCCTAGCTACTCAGGAGGCTGAGATCTGAGGATCTCAGTTCAAAGCCAGCCCAGGCAAGAAAGACCATGAGACTCCTATCTCCAATAAACCACCAGAAAACCAGAAGTGGCTCTGTGACTCAAGTGGTAGAGCACTCGCCTTGAGCTGAAGAGCTGAGGGACATCACTCAGGCCCAGAGTTCAAGCCCCACGACCGACCAAAAAAAAAAAAAATGGGGCAGGGGCCATTGAATCACACACCTGGAATCCTAGCTACTCAGGAGGCTGAGATCTGAGGATTACGGTTCAAAGTCAGCCCAGCAGGCAAATCTGTGAAACCCATCTCCAATTAACCACCAAGAAGCCAGAAGTGGACCCGTGGCTCAGTGGGAGAGCACTAGTCTTGAGTAAAAAAGCTCAGAGATGGTGCCCAGGCTCTGAATTCAAGTCCCAGGACTAGCATGCATCCGTGCGCATGCACACACACACACACACACACACAAAAAGTAGATTCACAAAACCAAGTTCCAAACATCTGTTTTCTAATGAGCAAGATAAGTATGTCTTGATGTTAAAGAAATTAATAACATGAAAGAAAATGCAAAATTCCTCAGTTACTCTAGCCATGGCTCATTAGTTAGATGGAACCAGAGGTCATTTCCTGGGACAAGACTTTAGGTCATTAATATGCAGCCAGGCAGGTGGAATAGCCTGAGAGCCAAGGAGTGCCTGGCAAGAGCATGGGACCATGTGGAAGCCAGTTTGCTTAGAGCCGACTCGCCGAGGCTGAAGAGGAAGGGTGGAGTCTGACAGAGAAGACTTCGTATCCTGAGTTATGATGCTGAGATTGTACTCTGTCCCTGGATAGGAAGCACTGGCATTACTTTTGAGCAGGAATTGGTGTCAAGTGCATTGTTTCAAGTGAATTTGCATGGTACTAGTGTCCAGAGAGATTGGAATGAGGAGAGACACCAGAGATGGAGGATGGAGGAGGAGGGCTCAGGTATATAGAGATAGCACCTGGCATAGATCCTTCTGGAGGCTGTACAAAGACAAAGTCCACGACGGGACTTAGAACCAGACACTGTCTTTAGAAAGGGGAGGTGGAGGAAGAAGGCCCAGGCAGCCTCTGGAGCTGCATGCCTGGGGATGAGTTTGACATGGAAAGGTTTAAGGAACCCAGGAAGTTTTGCTGGCTAGGCAATGACTCCCCCAAGGCGCAGACAGCTGAACCCAGGCCGGGAGTTAGTAGATTTTTTTTAATTTTTATTTGTTTTAATCCCAAAGTAAATTTTAACTCCAGCCCCACCCTCTGAATCATGGGCCACCCTAGACTTTGCTCTGAGTTTGAGATTGTGAGAGACACTCCTTCATTCTGGGGAACTCTGAGGTGGGCAGTCTGGGCTGGAGCTGTAGCAGAAGTTCTTTGTTCTCAGAAATCAAGGGGAAAGGGCCTGGTAGAAAGCCCTCTCTGCTCCCTGGCTGGCTTTCTCTTTCTTACTCCTAACTTCTTCCCTGGGGAGAGCGTCACTTGTCAGGCAAATCCAGGCCAATAGCTCTCACCCTCTTGGCTCCCTGCCCTGAGCCCATGTGTTCCCATCTCAATGCACACATGGTCCCAATCAGGAGTGTCTGGGGGCTGCTGGCAAAGCTGGGGCCTGAGCCCCACCACAGCCATGGCAAGACTTTCAGGGCCATGTCTGAGCTGCTAGGTGTGGGAAGTACCAAGGAGAAAAGTTGCGTTCATAGTGGGTGTGGTGGGTTGGCCAATGGGCTCCCGCTGCGCTGCTGTACTCTGTCATCCTGAAAACAATAGGGGCAGGGACAAGCCGCCCAGGGCTGAGACAATGAGACCATCCTGAGCAGCCTAGGAGACAAGGAAGCATGGGATACAGATGGGACATTGATGGCGTCCATTGTCCTTTGAGCTCTGGCTATCTTCCTGGATAACCCTGGACTGCAATCCTCTGTGTGTGTGTGTGTGTGTGTGTGTGTGTGTGTGCGCGCACGAGCGTGTGCATGAGCACGTGAGCCAGTATTGGAGCTTGAATTCAAGGCCTGGACACCGTCCCTTAGTTCCTCACTCAAAGCTGGTACTCTACCACTGGAGCCACAGCTCCTTTCTGGTGGTCATTGGAAATATCATAGACATTCCTGTTCAGGCTGATTTGAACTATGATCTTAAGATCTCAGCTTCGCAATCCTCCTGTTTATACTTCCACATACCTAGAATGATGCCATTGTACCCAGCTTTTTTATTGAGGTGGAGTCTTGAGAACTTTTGACCCAGAATGGCCTAAAACCACAAGGATAAAACTTTTTTCTTCTTTTCTTCTTTTTTTTCCTCTGTCTCTGTCTATCTCTCTGTCTCTCTCTCTCTTCCTTCTCACCCCTCCTTCCCACTTTCCCTTCCTTTGTTGGAAGTGCTGTGGATTGAAGCTGGGGCATAGCACGTGCAAACACAAACCCCTTGTCTGATCATAAAGAACCAAGCAGGTAGTTCTCCACCCAGCATCCTCAAGCCAGTGTTGTGGCTCTTCTACAACAGTGTGCCATGTGCAGAGCATCCCCCCACCCCACACACACTCCCAGAAGCTCTGCGTCCCAGAGAGGCTGGGTGGGTCTGGGCAGAAGCTTCCTCCGGGCGCTGGCTGGGCACAGGGCCCAGACTTGGGCTTTTCTAGGTCAGGCGGTTCTATCTTCAGCCTGGCCTGAGGATACAGCGCGTGTGTAAACTGTAGACATCCCCAGGCAGGCTGTATAAACACAGACTATCTCCCACTCCAACGCTTCCTTTGGGGAGACTCCATTCCAACTTCTTATCAACTGGAGCTTCCTACCCAGATAGAAGGAAGCTATTAAAGTCCATTTCCTGGTATTGCCTTGACCCCAGCAGCCTGGGGAAGCCAGTGTCCCTTCCAGGAGAATGTCTTCACACCCCTCAACTCTATTACTCAGCCTCCAATCCCCCACATCAAACAAGCCTGCAGGAATTTTGAACATGCTTTTAGCCAAAGCTTAGGGCCCTTGACATTTACTTGTTGCTCTAGCTCGTTCAAACTTGTTTACTTGGCTTTCTGGGCCTTCCTTGAGCAGCTCCTGCCGCCTTGGTCACTTACAAACATTTTTCCCTTCCCGATGTTCAGCTACCCTATTCCATCCCTCACACAGGTTCTGTTCATCCCTGTACCGATTTCCTGGTTCTTTCTCCACGTCTTTCTTACCCTTCTGGTTGTGAAATTACTGTTCTCCTTTCTTGTCACATACCACTGTCATAAAGTTTAGCCTGAAGATCTATCTAAGAGTGATCTGAGCATACCCAGCAATTTAGCACTGTCAAGCCTCCAGGATGCCCCCCACTCCCATGAGCCTCTGTTCCTGGTGTTCATTTCCTTGTGTAGTCTTCCCCAAATGGATGGAACCAAGCTGGATAATCAAGCGACTCTTGACTTGTTTGTGGTGGGATTTGAACTCAGTCTTGCTCTTGCTAGGCAGATGCTCCACCACTTGAGCTTTTACCTCAGCACATGATTTTTGAGGGTAGGTCTTTAAAGACATTACAACTTCTGCCTTGCATTCTCCTATCAT